ACACACAAAAGGCATCCAATAATGCAACATCTTACCCCAGGGACACATCACTATAGCGGAATATAACTTACATCAAAGTATGGAGAAAATATTTAAATAATTCAATAATTTTATAATAAGTTACATTTCTCATTTGCAGAGAGCATCGGGCATTGACTTGAATCAGGGATGAGGGAAAGGACTGAATGCACTTCATTTTGAACAAACTCCCCAAAAAACACCACGATGTAGACCTACTGTACTGCCCTTACAGTGTGTATCCTTAGGTCCAGCTAAACAGCTAGCTAACCTGCAAAAGCCCTCCATTCAAGAGACATGGCTTGTCTTTGCTTGTTCTTTGTTGTTTTTCAGGCAAGGGCAAATGAACTACAGTAGTAAGCAGCGCTGTAATGTATGAAAACAGACACACAGCTTTACTATAGTTACAATGTCAATTCACACACAGGGCTAGCTAACATACTGCTAGCTAATATGGCATATGTTAACTTACTTAACACAGAACAGTAACAAACACTGCACCATCTGCAAATAAAACACATGTTTACTTTACATAAAATAACAATAGTCTCCAAGACAGAGGCATGACTACCACAAATACAGCAACACTCAGCCGTCTCAAGTAACTAAATATATTCACTCAAGTACTGTACTTAAGTACAATTTTGAGGTACTTTACTTGAGTATTTCCATGTTATGTTACTTTGTACTTCTACTCAACTACAATTCAGAGTTATATTATGTACTTTTACTCCCCTACATGTATTTAATACCTTTAGTTACTTCACAGATGTGGATGAATGATGTGAAATATAATCAAGTGTTGAATCAGACTTTAGTTCCACCTGGAGTAAATCCACAAGCTACCCTGCAGTATACAAAGTCATTCAAACTAGCTGCACCTTTACCAGCTTTGAGAACACTTTCATGATCAATCATTATAAAACATATCATATATATTATTCTGAAATGGACCAATCTGCACAATGACTACTTTTACTTGTGGTACTTTAAGTTTACTTTGATGCTAATACTTATGTACTTTTACTTCAGTGACATTTTGAATACTTTTACTTGTTACAGAGTATTCCTACACTTTGGTACTTCTACTTTTACTCAAGTACAATATCTGAGTACTTCTCCTACCTCTGTGCGCACACAGACACACACACACACACACACACACACACACACACACACACACACACACACACACACACACCCAGCAAATCTGGATCAGCTCCGTTGTACCCCCGTTTTTAGAGATTTGGGTATGGAGGAAAAGAGAGAGGGTTGTGTTTTCTGACACTTTGTGAGTTCCCTGACACACCGGGGACACATATTCATGTATAAAAGGCATCAAACAGTGCATTTTGCTTAATAGGTGACCTTTAATGTCGCAAAGTAGGGCTGCTCTTCCTCTAGCATCAATACATGAAAATAAAACGTTTTTTAATCAATGAAATCACAATAACATGGCACAATTTGCGTGATTGATTTGAAGTTGTGTTTAGGAGAAGGTCAGATTTAAGTTAAATGTCTGTGTTGCTATAGCCTTTCAGTATTTCACATGTATTACAGATTGCCTGGTGAGTCCTTCATACAGCAGCCCTTCCTCCTAGACCTTTATGCCTTTTTATTTTCTACTTTATGCTTGGAGTCGACAGCCCTCAGCTGCATTTTAACCCACATTCCCACTGCCTTTACTACATCTGTGTGATGCTGCACTCACCAGAGTGGAACAGACAGAGGTCGCAGGCTTTTATACACTCACTGCTGGGGAACAGGAAAGAAGAAGCCTTGTTTTTCACAGAGAATGTGTCAACAATAGGTTGTCTATTTTTGAAGAGGGATGGATGGCTGTTCCAATTGGATTCTCCCTGTGCCTTAATGCCTTCAAAAATAGCTATGTGAAATGCACCATTAGCTCCGACTGCAGGCATCCAAAAGAATGTGTGTGTCTGAGTGTGTGTTTGTGTGCCTATGTCTGTACTCATTATCTGACTCCAAATGTGAAGGTGGATGCTTTTTTGGAAAAGTGACATAATTCCAAAACCAGAGGCCTGGCAAAAACAAACACATACAGTATTTGTGGGTGAAACCACTTGATATCCTTGGAGAACATGAAGGCTGTTAATTTTCATAATACTAATCGGAAAGTGGGCAATTTGTAAGCAGAGTGGAGCTTTTTGGCACAACCCTTACCGACTCTGCCGTCGCATGGTTTGCATTGAGAAGTCCAAACTGTAGTAACACTTGTACCATACAGAATAATTTTGTGGTCAAACTCCTCAGGATTAAGCAATATGTGCTGTCCTTAGTCACTTTACACAAAAAGTAGTGATACACTTGGACAGCCCTTTTTAAAACAAAGATATAAAGATGTTTACAATACATGGTTGAATGAGGAACAAAACATTTGAGGATTGCAATAAAATGTAATTAGTTTGGATCTGAAAATGTGTATGCAAATCTGAATACTATCCCTGCCGTTAATGTTTGTCTTATCCATAATGTTATCCTGATTTTGGCATTGTATACTGTATATTTAAAATATATTTCCATCTGGTATCGCAACTACTTCACAGAGCTGTCCTCTAGATAAATATGTTTAATATAAAGAAAACAATTGTATCTCATTTTTAATACAAGATAAACTGGAAAAGTGTAGATCAGCAGTTTTCAAAGTGTGAGGCGCGCCTCCCCTGGGGGGCGCCAGAGAGCTTCAGGGGAGGCGCAGCGTGAGAAAAAAATAACGAGAAACAGTGAAATCTAGCTAGTTAACTTCAGCTAACTTTAAGCGAGCGGCAACATGGATCGATTTTTAGTGAAGTTACCTAAAGTGAAAGAGGAGACAGCGTCTGGCAGAACACGTCACTTGCACACTTTTGGCTGTCTGTGGAGACGTTCCCCCACCTCGCCAAAAAGGCTGTAAAAGTGCTCATTCCCTTCACCTCCGCCTACCTGTGTGAGTGCGGGTTTTCCGCATTGACTTTGATCAAAAGCAAGTACCAGTCAAGCAGGGGTGGATCTACTTTGAATGGGGTGACGTCATTTTTCGCCGAACTGCATTGTGGGAAGCGACGCGGAGCTTTGCTGGCGTTGCTGGCTGCAAAAGTTGAGCAATGTTCAACTTTTGAAGCCTCAGCAGAAGCGTCAGCCAATCAAATCATATGCCAGTACAAGCTCTAGCCAATCAAACCGCTGCTTGTGTGTCAGGGGCGGGAGATTCATGTGATTGGTTGTTGGTCGAGTGTCAGACACGCCCGCCAGCAAGCTTCAACGCACGCCGCTGTGTAGACGGGCCATTACTGTTATTTTTATATTGACATTGTTACATTAACGTACAATTAAATACATTTAAGTATGCAATTGAAAGGTAGATTGAATATACCAAATCACATAGGTTGCTCCATTAAAAAAAAAGATACCTGCTAAGCTACAGTAGCACCTTACAGTAGGAGTTTAGTAAGGTTTTTTTCTTCTTCTTTTTCTTCATCATCATCATCATTTAGTTGCTTCCTTATTTGATGATTGAAATATTCAACTGATTAACCAAAATGAATATACAACGGGGGAAATCAATAACTAACCTCCAAACCTAAACTAAGGTTAGGAGCGGCTATCTCACAAGCTAGTTTACACGTTATATAATGCTGAATCATTAAATACAGCTCTGGAAAAAAAGACCACTGCAGCATTATCAGTTTATGTTGTTTTACTATTTTAGGTACTTTGTGTTTGAATAAAATGATTTTTGTATTCATATAAACTACTGACAACATTTCTCTGTGTTGGAATTCAACAGACACTGGAATGTAATGGCTGCCATACATGTAGAGGGTTAGGGTTAGTAATTTGGAAAGATTCGGAGTCGTCTCTTCATTTTTTACAGAGCTGTATGTAGTTGCCTTGCTAGAGTGTCTGGTAAGTGAAGACCAGTCCTACAGCACCCAGTTGACAATACATTATATTTCTCACAAATTACCAAGTCAGATAGCAGTGACTGCAGGCTCGGCAGCGTTATGCTGAGAGAGTGTAGCAGCGGCAAAAAGTATTGTGTTTTTTTTCTATAGTAAAACAGATGTCAGAAAGTCACATACTCACCTTTGTTTACCTTCTTCAAAAACAGCATTCAATAGCCGAAGCTTCGGCCACTGTATTCACATGGGGAGAGTCCTATCGCATTGTTCCTTTAAAAAAAAATGTTGAAAGCAAAACACTATATATGGACAATCATCACCCCCTGGTTTTTAATTATGTATTTGTGCTATTGCCCATTTGTTTTACATGAGCACTAACCAGAAGGTACTATCTCTCACACTTTGTATGAATGAGCTTTGTTGCTCAGTATGACAGCTGTAGAGTGAGGAGGACGATCGGCATCAGGGATGTCTCATGATAGTTTCTGTCTGAAAGATACGGTCAAAAGCAAGCTTCTCTTCTAATTTTAACAGTTAAGTCACCGGCACGTTTCTGAAAATGTTTAATATTCCTTACTAGAAGCGCTTGGACTGGCTGTGCAACAACGGTTGAGCACTTAGAAAAAAAGATGCTGGATGCTGCACTTTTTTCTCGAGGCGGCTGATGCTCAGAAAAAAGATGCTATGTGGACAAACACCATTAAAGTTCTGATTTGGAAGTCTGTCTTCCAGAAATGGCATTTATAAATAACTAGTTTTAAAAAAAATGGGACAAATACGAAGATGAGGGTTTATTAAAACACAATCAAGAAAATCAGAAAATGTTAGCATCAATAAAACATATCATATGATTGCTCACACAGTCTAAATTACAGGATGAGGATGCAATTACATTCCTGCTAACTTATATGTTACCCATATAAAACTCGAGAGATTTGACCACAAATGTATCTAAGTGACTTTACCAAGGAGCCAGTAAAGGTCAATCTGTTAAACCACATTCTTTAATGTGCACATGCGGAAACAGTGATTAAACAAATGAATCAATTAAGAGTGCCCTCTTTTGTGTTTTCCTCCCAGGCTTCCCAGCAGCAGCGTACGGTCCGGTGGCAGCGGCAGCAGTAGCGGCGGCGCGTGGCTCAGGTAGGGGGGGCCCCTGGAAGAGTCGGCGGCTACATGGCATACGGGCAGAACACAGGGGCAGGTAAAGGCTCTGTCGGTATTCTGTGTGGCCTGACGCTCTCTCCATGCAGTTTCTCACCTCATGCACACACAGACACTCACCTTAACATACAAACAGCTGCTGTATATAGAGAGGGTGGATTGAAGACCCAATTCCAAACGGACCCCTACACCCTCCCACTCTGTGAAAGAGTGAACTCCGTCTATATTCTCGTTATCAGCTGAATGAAGCTCCTTCTTTAATGTGGTGGTGGGTGTAAATACAGCGGCAAGCGACCCCCCACAGGAACTGTCGTGACCTTTCATAACCATGGTTTCTAATCAGCATCTTAATGACATTTCAAACATATTTACTGCCATACAGTATCTTCTTGTTTTTAAATCTATTGTTTATGAGCTGCTTGATTTTTAGCAATTTTTTGTATAAATATACAAAACCTTACAGTTAAATGCAGACGTCTGTATGGGATGATCCTTGGTAAAAAATATAAATAAATGTAACTTTCAATTTGTTAAACGTCTTATTTTGCAATTACAAGTAAATATTTCAGCGTGTTCAATGACACTTAAAGCTTTGCAGGTGGTCAGGTAGTATCGCTGGTTAAGTCTAGCCTGATGCAGACTCCCTGTTGGAGGGTTTAATAACGCCCCCTCCCCCCCTAGCTTGTGTGGAACGGCACTTAATGTAGAAAATATTCTCTCTCTTTTTGTCCTGATCCAACTATATAAAGACCTGTCTGAAAATTGTCCGATTTTGGCCACTCTGTGATATCACAATGTTTTTTTCGGTGGTGCAACCATTAAATAACCAACCAAGGTAACCACCTTATCACCTGAATCTCCTCCTAGAGCACCATTGTGTTTTCTTAAACCAATCATCTCTCAGAGGGGCGTGGCCAGCAGCAGCTCGGCTGTGGTGGCGAAGTCCATAGGGACTTGGCTTGCCGAAGGTCACCGGTTCAAGTCCCCGAAAGACCAAGTGCTACCGAGGTGTCCCTGAGCAAGGCACCGTTCCCTACACTGCTCCCCGGGTGCCGTACATAATGGCAGCCCACTGCTCCTAACACTAGGATGGGTCAAATGCAGAATGTACATTTCCCCTCTGTGGGCCGATTAAGGTATAAAAAAAAAGAGAAATTAAATTAGCATCTAAAGTAACAGACACAGAACCAGCACTTTTGAAACAAGGCTGAAACAGAGGGGATTATGGGATGCTACAAAGCATGATCTGTTTGGTGTTTCAGCCAAACACTTCAGAGACATGTTTTGTATATATCTGAGACCAATAATATATTGTTGAAAAAGAGTAATAGAGTCACTTAAATACTAATTAATACTAAAATACTGTGTTGATTAGTATCATGTGTTCATACGTAAATAATAACTATGAGTGTAAACTATGTAAATAGTACTTAAGTACAATACCTGAGTAAATGTAGTTTGTTACATTCCACCACTGCTAAACACACGTTAGGAATACCAAATGCCCTCCCCCCGGCCCCTTTTTGCTAAAGTATATTTGAGCATTGAAAAAGTAGGTCAAACAACCTCTCCTCACAAAATAATACTTCCAATACCTCAGGACTCTGCTGCTGTCCGGCTGTTTGTTAAGTGCAAATATTGTGTATGTGTTGTGTGTATAATGTGTATTAGTGTGTGTTCTGTGGTGTTTGCTTAAAAGTGTGCATATACAGTATTCTGACACTTGCATATGATATGAACACATTCTTATTTTGTTTAAGTGTGTCGAAATGCCATGAAAGTCTGAATATATGGTATACATGTTTAGAACAATAACAAATTAATATTGTAAAGCGCATACTCTGTTAGATATCTTCAAGATGTTTTGATCAGGGTTCTAAATGAGCTGCCATCCATTCTAGATTATTAATGAGCTTCCGTATTGGGCTGAAAAGGAGTGCTCTTTATGTTAATTACTCTGTGAATCATCTAGAAGAAGACCATTTACTGAGAGTAAAGCCACCGCAGGGCAGAAATAGAAAAAGGCCACATCCTTTTTAAAACTATCACAGGAAATGAAGCCTGTAATGAAAGATTACATTAAATCCCAGTGGTAATTCAGAAGATGTTTAATAGATAAAGAAAGATAGGAGGAATATAACAGTCACCAAATCCCTGTGAGTGAGCCTGCATTGAAGCACATTGTTGTACCGGCCAAACGGCGGTACTACAACTCTCATGGCTGCCATGTGATGTCATTTGGCCTTGAAATTTATTTTTGACTAACATATGCTGTAAATCAGCATACATTTGTTTAAAGGTAAATCAACTACCGAACATTTAATTATATCATTAGGTCCTAAAAGTTGTTAAAGGTTGGAACCAGACTTTCTTCCCCTCTTCATTCATTGGACTGAGCCAAGAATGGCAGCGGAGTGGATGTGGGATAGGGCTTGAGTAAACCATTAAGCATATGCTGTAAGAGTCAGAACATTTTGGCTTCTTTCACCACTGAGTAACTTTCATATGAACGGGGCTCCAACCCAGTGTCCGGTTCTCTGTATACGCTAGTCACACACATTGTGTTAATGTGCTTATGTGTACATCTAGACCAGATGGTTGGATACTGCAAGTTTATTGTACACAAAAAAGGACACACACATACACCCACACACACACACACACACACACACACACACACACACACACACACACACACACACACACACACACACACACACACACACACACACACACACACACACACACATACACACACACACACACACATAGACATGGTGAATTCGGACAGTTTAGCCCCTGGCAGTAAATGATATGAACTGTTATTTCCAAGGTGGGTACTGAACTAACCCCAGCCTCCCCACAACCTCAACCATCAACAAAAAGTGACAGTGCTTTTTAGCTGACAAGACAGATGTTAAAAATGTATTCCTCCATTGCACACATTAATGAGGCAGATTAGGTGGGAGTGGGGGTTCATGTCATCACATCACTGGCTCTTGGATTGCTATTCCATTTAAATGATTGCAGTGTATGTAACCAACACTTTGAACAAAATGGAGGAAGAACATACAGTATCCAGAAAATAAATAAATCAAACTGTATTCCACAAAATACAACAGCTGTGAGGGAAAACACTTGATGACATGGAGGAACACAAATGTAAAATTGCATTCCTTTTTTTAAATGAATGTGTTAAATGTAGAGAGTGTGATCCCTAAAATACTATTAGTTTGAAAGTTCAGAACATCAAGGATTAACAACCCGACAGTCGAACCATTTGTTAGGAAATGTTCCCTGAAAATTACCATTTGTATTTGTCCATGCTTAACTTGCTGTTATTGTCTTGGCAAAGTGAAGTTCCAACTGATCTTACAAATCAGTTGGCTAAAGACGATACTTACCTCAACAAGGTGTCATTGAGAGGTGGTGCTTCTCCGACATGCTCTCAAAAAACCTAAAAGAAATACACTTACACTATTTGATTCACACTGTAATACAAGTTGCTAAATGTTGCTCACATGAAACATTACATGTTAACACAATAATCATTGTAATGTTCTGTTGAGACGTGTTGCTGAAGAATATTAATATTTAACAGAATTGCTGTACTACAATAATGATAAAGTAAATGATCAACATGAAAGCATGACATTTACATGGTACGATAATAAAGAGGCCTTTTATCTCTTTTGATGTGGCTAGCTGCTAGTTGGTATTTATCTGAAAAAAGCCTTTTTGGCAGGTATGTATTGTGTGTTTTAACTGGGCAGTGGTTTGTTTCTCGTGATCGGTTTTAATAATTGACATTCCCTTTGTTTTTTATTCAAAGCAACATCTAAACATTCTAGTCTGCATCTGATGGTGCTTGTTTTGCCTTCAATTAGCAACCATTAATTAAGAGAGCAGACCGAGGCCCGGGACCTCAGGACAGGTTTCCATTTGTTGATGTTGTTACATATCTAATTAAAGAGCTGAGAGATAAGTGAACAGGACGCTCGTCTCCGACTGGGATACCCAAAACCTATGGGAATGTGAAGGACACTAAAAGTACATCAAAGTAAAGCTTTGAGTGAGGAAATGATGTCTGAAAAACTACAAATGTACTGTTGAGTTGATTTTAAAAGTTTTTGATTGACACTCATTTTCCTGGAATAGCAATTTGAAATGATGAAGTTAATATTGTATACCAAATAAAACCAACAATGTTACAGTCCTAATGTGATGTGTTTCCATGAAAGGGATTTCTGCTTAAAATGTCCTTTGCTTTGATTGTTTACGGTTACTGTTTTTAAAGATTTATTTGTTGGCTTTTTTTAACTTTATTTATTTAAGTACGCACTAAGATAGACAAGCAAGGTAGGGAAATATGTGAGGACTTATGGAAAAGGGCAACTGGCAGAAGTACTACATTGATATGCAGGGAAAGTCAGCTCAAATCAAATGTTACCATTGAAATCATTTTGATCACAATGACCCTGATTAAAGCCATCTCAAATTGCAGGACATTTTACTGCAGCGTTTTTGAGAAAAATAAAAGATTCATTTAGTTGAAATGACATAATACGTAATACATAAAAGTTATAACATTTCCTCATAAAAAAAGTTATTGTTCAATGTTCAGCAGAGTCTGCTTCAGAATGACACTGATTATGGCCCCCTGGTCAAATTTGAAATTACTTTATGAAACAAAAATCCCCTTAAAATACTAAACATTACAAGATAGACCGCCCTGCACATCATGTGTCAGAGATAATGTGAGGAATGATGCAGTGGAAATGTGATTCTGCAGAAAGGACAGAGAGCTAATCAGATCACAGGGAATATATGAAAAACATCACAAAACAAATGTAAAGTAATGAAGTTAATCTCCTTCCGTTGTACGGAAAGACAACATTGTTCAAGTGTAAACACATTCAAACACTCAAAATGTTCATTAAGCCCCGCCTCCCAGCTTAAAGTCCCGCCTTTTATCTGTTCCGTTATGTTCGGTCTTGGCTCAGTCAAATTAGAGGGAAAATAACATGCATTCGGGTTATAGCACTTTTTACAACTGTAAAGAACCTGATGATTTAAATAAAAAACTTGGTACTGGGTAGTTGATGTAACAAACAGAAAATGATACGCTGATTCACACACGTCTCTTTCCCAATGTACGTCAATGGTGAAAAGCCAAGAGACTGACACGGAAGTTGTAGCACCACCATTTAGTCACTACGGAAATGTGTTCAATGGCCAAACATGTATTTAAATGATTAGCTTTCCAGTGATCTACACCCACCAACCAAACTGGTTAGTTGCTCTGAACTTTCATGATTTATTTTTTCCTAGTACAATCTGTAGAAGAGTGAGGGCCAATGCCAGAGAAGAAGCCGTTATGGGCCCTTTTCATCAAGCTGAGACCCCGACTTGGAAACCTGTTAGTGTCACATTTAAAATGAATAGGACATTTCTGACTCACTCTCATTGATTTATGAGCACAGCTAAATTATAGAACATTTTTAATCATCATGTCTTCATTTTGCTTTAGTAAAAGTATTCAAGCAGTCATTTCTCCCCTATAGCTGTTATCACATTAATACACAATTATTCGTTTGAGCATTTTTTTTATTCTGTGCTTTAATTATTTTTTCAGGATTAAATACAATAAAAAATGTATAAAACAAGAACACAACATTTATATAATCATGAGTTAAAGTAAGAACGTTCAATGAAAAGTAATGAAACTTACATAAACATAAATAAAATGTCCAATAAAAGATCAAATAGAATACAAATATTTAAATAAACAAGTGGAATTGTGCACATTGACTATAACCTGTATAATACACTATGAACAGGGGTGTATAAGTATTCATAGGATAATAATGCTGAACTGCAGTTTAAAACAAATATTAAATCAAGGTCATAATAAAATGTCCCCTCCCCTCCTCTGTCTCCCAGGCTTCCCTGACTATGGGTTGTATTCTACGGCCGGCAGTGACATGCGGGGAGGGGGCTCCTACTCCCTGGCTGACTACGGCTCCCTGGGGGCCCAGGCGGCTCAGATCCTGCCCAGTGATCACGCCAGCTCTTCCTGCAACTCCCCCAACTCCATTCAGCACCACCTGCACAGCCCGGACCCCTTCAAGAGCCCAGGTGTGTATCTCTGTGTCTCCTGCACGCAGAGTCACACACAATGCAGCAACACCATGAGACACAGAGGAGGGGGATAACAAAGCAGTGAGGCATGGCGCTGTGTGGCAATTTGCCCAGAATGCAGTGCATGCTTTTCTTAGCTGTGCCTTAGGAGAATGGTTCATTTTTATTTCTGTTGTTGTCATTTGTTGGAGTATTATAAAAATACTACATTTGTTGTTTAGTATGAACCCTCTGGTCTGTAACAGTCTGCAGATCTTGTGCTTGGGTTGTGTTGCTTGCATTAATATTCCAGTATTGGAGGACATCAATAAATAAGGAAGTAAAATAGTGCAATAGAAAAATGCAATGGAAGCTTTTAATGGTCAATGTGCTTTTTGAGACCTAGGTGGCAAGTTGTTATTGGTTATTTGATAATTTAGTCTCCAGATAAAGCAACAAGTAACATTGGAAGGTACTATTTGTAACTATTCATTTCCTAAGCCCTCGAGTCCACAACACATGTGATGGAACAATGAGTGTATCGCCTGTGAGAAACTCTTCCACTACACACAGTGTGAGCCAGCTGCAATCATGTGTCATTTATTCAGCAAAAATAAACCAATCGTGTAGTGCTAGAGGTAGAGGAGCAAATGATGCCATCCCAGCTACAACCGATTGGCGCTAAGAGCTAGATACAAAACTAAAAACATAACGAAAGACGACAGACATGTATTTCACAAACAACCCTTGTTCCTGCCACAGCACTCTCTAGAGTTACTGTGGTGTTTCCTGATTTGAGCATCAACATTATCTGGAGTGTATATTAAAAATTCTGCCCAGTAAAGACTCTAAGAAATTAGCAAAAGAGAAGTGGGTCATAAGGCCAAACAAGGTCAAGGGGGTCAAATTACCCCTGAGAATAATAGCTTAGGAAAATGTCCGTCTTCCTGACTCATAGTTTTCTGAGAATGGGGTTGTGCATTTTCATAGACTCACTTCAAAGTCTAATAAGCAGCGGCACAAGTTCATCACACACACACATACACACACACACACACACACACACACACACACACACACACACACACACACACACACACACACACACACACACACACACAAAACACATTGCATTATATTTCTCCTAACAAAGGTAAAGGAAACAATAGAGTGTTGGAGAAATGAGTTAGCATTTGACCACTTCCGGGCTTCCTCAGTGGATAACACGTGGCTTAATCAGACTTCTGAACATCATCTCCCAGAACAAGAGTCCACCTTGAGCTTAGCGGTGTTGATGCGCATCCATGTGACCACAACGTAGTTTGTTTATAGCCTAAGGTTAGCTATTCACTTCTGAAGATTGCATTGATGCCTAAACTGTTATAATAGTGGTACTAATATGTAGTTTATCCTGCTGAGCAAAATGTGTAAGTATCATAGACGTGTATTTGGAAGGAGCCTTTGCCCTCAACATTTAACTGAAATCCTGTATATGGTCATATAAACATTACTCCTCTAAAAAATGACCAGTCAGAAATATGAATGTGATCTGCTTGTTGTTTCTTCTTCAATCATACACTGAAGTGAGTCCATGGAAATGTATCTCAGCCCTGCAGTCTTTTAGCATACATTACCCAGGACACCCTGTGTAATGTTCTGCCTGTCAGGAAGGCTAGGTCCAATACCTCAATCACTTTGGAGAAGATAATCACAATCATATATTTAAGGGTTTGGTGAGGAGGGGGTGTAGGTGTGCTGAGGTGTGGAGGCTCTCCTGTGACAGGTGTTGATAAGACGAGGTGTGCTGTGCCCAATCCCCCTGTGCATGTTATACAATGCCTGGCAGTCATATCTGAGGTTTCTGAGCAGTGCAAAGCAGAGAAGGCTAAAGAGAGGCTAACAAATAAATATATACTGTATATATCTGCAAGTCCATTAGCTTCAAATCAGTGAAACTTTTTAAGTACTACCATTATTCAAAGGTTTATTGGTCAAGGTGCAGTGGATGTGTAGACTTTCAGAATTCCTGATATCTAAGGAGAGCTTGTTCCACCATTTTGGAGCCGTTTTTGTTGAGTGCTACGTGGGTCCAACTTCACACTGTAGCCTGCAAATGGTTTAAAATACATTTCCTCTCTCAATGTGTGCCTGGTCATAGTCAACCTTTATCTCTGAGTGCCAGCTGTGTAATAGTTCCTCTGGCTAATCCATCTCCTGGCCCCTCTCAACAGGAAGCAACCAAACCAGGCCTGGAGGCTTCCATGGGGCCAACAGTCCTGGCCCCGTAGCTGACCTCTATGGAGGCACCAGTCAGGACTCTGGTGTGGGAAACTACATCAGCGCCACCAGCCCTCAGCCGGGCTCCGGCTTCAGCCACAGCATTGCTGTAAGTATACCTATTCATGTGACATCATGACATCATCATCTTCATCTTCCAGCCCATCAATTCTCACTAAGGCTGTGCGTCTTTTTTAGGCAGAAAGCGTTTCTATAATGTTTTTGTGACAATGATATCTTGACAACATATGACCAATTTATGTGACAGACTAGATTCGCCCACTTATCTGTATCTATCTGGTTAGGCTACTATATATTTATTTGTATATACTGTATATATCTTTGACATTGTTTTTTTAACCATGAACACCAATCTACAGCCGTCGAGTACGATCTGCGTACGGCGATAAAAGTGTAAGAAATATTTTCACCTATAAGCGCTCACAGTGGCCTCACAAAAAAGGTAGTGCGCTCAGAAAACATGCACAACGCTTTTTCTCTCCCCATTGGAAACAACAAGAAAAGAAACGCTGGCGGTCAGAAAAAGGCGCTATGTGAACAGAGGCCCTAACTCAATGTGGTTAACTCATTCTTCATTCATTAGCAGCACCAGACGACTACTTTGTTGAATTGGTGTAAAAACAGGCATCATTGTTTGGTCAGCGCCGGCACTGCTAACTGCCAACCCTTTCTTTCTACATTCAGTTTGCCTTTTGGTGCACAAATACACACACATGCACACACACACACACACACACACACACACACACACACACACACACACACACACACACACACACACACACACACACACACACAACACACACACATACACACACACACACACACACACACACACAGACATCGTGAACAACATCTGGTATAGAAGAGAAAACAGAACATCTCATATTTCATTGAGATAATGTTGAGGTGGTATGCATTATTTCATGCATTAGATATGACCTGAAGTGTGCTGCGTTCACCTAACAAACTAAATCCACATTCATCTATGTATTGTAGATTAATACAAAAATAGAGCATACAGAACATACAGTTATCATGATATATAAAAGTTATGAAAACAGTTGTTTGGTTTCCCCTTTTGGTAAATGCAACCGTCTTCTGTACATCTGTCGATAATTACTGTTTTGAATTGAATATGCCTCAATGTAGATTTTTCCTCCAAGTAAATAAACAGACATATTCATCATTAATCTCTGTAGTGTTTACAGACATCATGGTCTGTGATTCTGAAAGATCTGTATGACAATCAGGTTCATTTTATAGACGATGACCTCAAATATGACTTCCTGCTGTCAAGGCTTGACTTGATGGTGTGGTTACATGAGGTTTTATTCCATGTTTGTAACAGTAATCCGATATGCACCATGTACTTTAAACCAGTATTTTGTAACCAACGGCCCTACAAATATTAAATAATTCATAGAAAATATAAACTAATTTTGGATAAATGTGTTTACGTTTCTAAAAACAATACGCAGTTCGGCTGGCATGTAATGTTATGACATAGTTCATAGTGGAATATATATGGTATAGCTTGTGGGTCACAGTTATTACGGCACAGTTCAAACCTTAATAGATAACAACCTGTTTGTCATTTCAGAAATCCCAAATGTTGCCATTTGACTCACACTGTGTGTTTCCATTCATGCTGTCATCCCATCCTTTGAATAAACTACACTCACAAGTACTTTTTTTCAAAGAACTGTGTACTGACAGTTACTAATTGTACATTATAGGGTCCATTGATTGCGACAGCTTTTACAAATGGATACCATTGAAAGCTAACAGGTGACTGGTTGCCATCTCTTTTGAGGTATTTGATACTATTCCCACAACCTTATCTGCCCATACAAACAAATGTATTGTTCTTGCATCCCTTTTAAACGTCTTATTTCCCTGTCATGTCTGCTCCTAGCATATGTATTGTTGACCTGATCATTCCTCAATGGGTTGTCACAACTATTCACAGGGTTTGTGCCAGCAACAGCTATGTAATATGTTCCCATGGCGAACCCTTTAAAGACTCACATATGCATGCACAAGTTTGACATGAAATCCTTTGTTGTCAAACTTTGCTTTACGCACTGTTTATTTTCTGACATTTGCCCAGTTAGTTTGGAATTCTAGGATGAAGGGCGGCGGAAAGTCACGTGTGTTTTCAAATATAACTTCATTAGCTTTTATGATGAGCACAGAGCTGCATTTGTTTTGACTTTTTAACTTATTTTGATGAAGAGATGCAATTGTGAAACATTACATTAGAGCACACTTGATTTGACACAGGCGTATTTAAGTAGCTAAAAGCCTTTTTAACATAAATGGAAAAAACGCTCATGCATGCAAATGATCTGTTCTCCAACATTGACCATATGCTATTCCCCTACTCTCAATAAACCTTAGCTGGTTAATGTGTTTCTGTATTGGAAGCGGCCTCTCGTGGTGACACCCTGCACCAAATTGAAAGGGTGTGCTAACAGTTGAATCTAGACACGCCCTGGGGTTTCGGAGGCATTTGACTGCCAGCTGGCTGTCAGCTTGTCTTCTACCTGCCAGCAAGGAGCATCTCTGAAAGGGTGTGACATACAATGTCTATCCCACCAGTTCCACCTTTCTCTTTCTAAGGTGTTATACAAACCAAACATCACTGAAAGAATAAAATAACACCCCCTATGATCATACCATTCTAGCATTAGGGTTGTTGGTTCAATATCAGCCCTTGCAGTCAACACATTGAAGTGTCCTTGGGCAAGATACTTAACCCCAAATGTCTCCCGATGTTAGGCCTGACTTGCAGTCAGAGTTGTAGTTCATCAAAAATGTGTTGGTTAGGAGTGATGTCAGTGTAATTTGGATGGGACATTGTCATGCTTAAACAGCCGAACACAAGTATCACATCAGCCATTGTTAGGTCTTACTTAAATAATGGTCTGAATAAAGTGTCAATCACATAATTGCATGTCTTTTTCAAATCTTGTTAAAATAATCAAGAGCAATACTTGTATGAGTTCCACCTTTTATATGTTCCTACCAAAGCATTTCACACTGGTAGTCTTCACTGTCTTCTACAATGGTAGAAAACCATTTTAACTGCTGTATGAGAATCCCCAGTGTCGTATGGAAATACAGGGTGCCATGAGAGAAGGCAACAGATAGTGTGTGTTGCTTTCGTTTGCAACTCCTAAGATGCTAGGGTACTGTCAATGTCCTTTTTCACCTTGAAGCATGAAAGGATGTTTTTTCTAATTACCGATAGACGCATGGACGATGCTTTGGATTACCATTGAAAGGGACTGATGCCAAGGGAAGTCAAGCCGGGTCTCTAAACTGCTTCTGTGTACAGGTGATGCCACCCAGCACTAACCACTACAGCCTCCACGCAGTGAGCCTGAGCGGGGGTGGGACCAGATGAAGAACCGTTTGAAAACAAAAGTCCAGAAGTGGTGAACAGCCTGCGATGGAGATCCCTCTGACTGTGTCCGGTATACTTGTGTTGAGATTTGCTGGTTTGGATTTGAATAATTTTCATTTTGATTTGTAGACGTATTGTATTGGACATTTAATCAATAATGATAAATTATTTTTAAAATATTTAATTATGATTATTTTAAGTGTACGTTTGTTTGTTTGTTTTGATTAGCAAGTTAAACGAAAGCAATGTACTACACCCTTTGTGTGTGTCATTGTGGTTACTTCTTATCTCTGAGTGATGAAAGATTGTCAGTTTGCACGTACAAAACGTCTGATGTGAACAGTGTTGGTTCACGTATCAATTAACACAAGACAAACCAATTACACCTAGTAGCTTTGGTTCTAGCAATGTGGTCTCAACATACCCATTTTAGGCAATAAGAGGACGACAATATTTTCACAGTCCTGTTTTATAAATGTTTTTTTGTCTTGAGAAAATTAATATATACAAAGTTGTGTTTTTATTTCTGTGTCAAATTTTGAAAGAAGTGTATAACTGTACATGGTGTTTAAGTAATTATAGTGGTTTAGTGAGGGACAGGAAGGGATTACCTGAAGATAGTCCCATCATGCGCTGCTGGTTCGCTTCTGACATGCTCTACCTGTGGCTAATTTGATACCAGCATATTTGTCTACATTATGAGCTATAGAGAGCTGAAGGAATGAGTCCTTTAAACCAGGAATGAGTTAGTATTCTACCAGTTCCGGTTCCCTTGTCTCAAAGTCAACGTTTTTTTGAACATATTGTGCTTTGTTTAATTCCTGAAATAAGGTCTGCGGTTAACGCAAACTTTAGAGATTTTCCTGTTTTGTTCTACGACATAAAATATGTCGTTAAATACTCCATCCATGTCCGAATCTTTTTTGTGTCATTAATACAGCGGTTGCTAACAAGTAGCTAAATAGGCCTACCAAACTTCATCACGCCAAACAATGGTCCGCCTTAACTTAGCGTCGGTGACATGAAGTCATGTGACCGTGATGTATGGTTTATAGCCTCGTTTATAGTAACGGTAGCATTTTACTATTGTAAATTGCATTAACGCTTCGACTACTATAAAAAGTGAAGTAAATATATGATGATTATTCACCTGAACAAAACATGTTAGTATCATAAATCATTGTTAGCCACAGATCTTATTTTTTGCAATGTTCCAAAATCCAAAGGAAAAATCCCATTGGCTTGTTTTGTGGCGGCCTTTATGATGCTAACTTCCGGGTCAGCCTACAAAACAACAACATCACTGCACAACTCTATAGTGCGCACAATTATGTCTGTGACACACAAATGACGGACTCTCCTCTAATTCTCTTTGAAGCTCTGTAGCATGAAAACTAATCAATCCAAAGCACACTTGATCGTTTTTGGATTACAAAGATGATTTTCATTTCATATGCTGTAATTGTCTTCACATGTACGGTGTCACACAAAAGACAATATTTCAAGTTTTGCTACTTGTGTTTGTTACGAGGAGGAAGAAGTGCAGCAGATGAGTGTTGCTTATTACCTCAGTCCTATGAGATTTTCTAACGATGACAAGAGAACCTATTTAAAAATATGACTGGCTAACAAAGTTGTTGCACTGTCATTAGAGGTAAGGCTGAGAGCAGATTTCATTTGCACATTTAGTGGACTTTTATTTATAACTCAATTTTGGTCAGCCTAACTTGAAAATGTCTGGAGTTTTATTTACTGTTTTTAAATGTTACAGTTGCTTGCATAACACTGGTCGATCCAACATCAATGAAAACACACAGATGTTCATACACGCATTAGACAAAATGTAAAAAAAATAGGAATGTTGTCTGTAATTTCATGTACATAAGGATTTGCTATAACTAAAGAATCAATCTTTTTTTAAGTTTTTAATTGATATGAATTGATAAATGTACGCTGTTTTCTTCCCTCTGTGCTAATACAAATATTTTACAAATTACTTTTACAAACTGTGGGAAGCTGAATGCTGGACTGTTTCTATAATGCAGTAATGATCAGAAAACAAAAAAACAAATGTGTAAATTGTTAATTAAAAAGAGAAACATGTATGTTCCCTTGTATGATTCACATTTCTATGAAGGATTTGCATCAATATTTTTGTGGCTGTTAATGATTCTATAAATAATATCTATATAAATCACAATATATCATGTACTGTATATTCATCCAGTTTTCTCTTCATCATCCTCGACAATAATCTTCAGTTGAGCATTAATGTCTTGCAGTAACTAAAGAAAATCTAATGACTTATGGGAGTGCTGTCTTTGATACCAGTGTAGTGTCCTATACACAGATGTGTTACCTTTAAAACTCTCACTTGTTTTGTCTCTCTCACTCTTTCTCCCAGTAACTAGTGGTAGATGTTCTGTAGTTGCAATATTGTTAGCTAGTACTCATCACGTAGGACCTGTAAGGATAGTTCTTTGACATGTTCCTGACTGAAGTGGACATTTGTTTCACTTGAATTTATATTTTTATGTTGAATTTGTGCTGCTCTCACATGGTTTCAGCAAACCAAATCTACGGAGGCCGACCCTGCAAACGCGCTACAACCGGACAAAACACTTACCTTAGGAGAAATGCGCTGCGCTTTCAAAATCAATGTCAATACAAAAATGTTGGCCAAAAAACGTGAAAATTAAGAAACAGTTTCATTAACTTGTCAACACAGCTTTTAGATAACATTCACCAAAGCTCTGCAAATAACAAACGCTGCGGCTAACAAGTGACGCACAGAGCTGGGACCGGAGCACTTGTTGATGTTTGGGGTTATAAAGTTGGCCAACTGTCACCGTCTGGAAACGTACCTAGAGTTTTATTAGCTTATTTCAACAATGTAATCGCGTCATTCGTTCTGATATTATTGCAGATCTGCTGTAAGGTAGCTCGCTAACGTATTTCACCTAGTCGTTTCCAATATACTGATAAAACACTTTTTAGCTTAGCCAACTTTAGAATCTCCGAACGCCAACAAGTGCTCCGGTCCCAGCTGTGTGCATCACTTTTTAGTGTCCCCGTTTACGTCACGTTTGAACGTATTGCAGCTCTTTTTTGTATTCGCAGTGCTATTAGTAAATGCTGCACATGTGTTGTCAAGTTGGCAAAGATGTTTCTTCATTTGCGTATGTTTTGGCATGTTTTTTTTAAATGTTCATTGTATTTGAAAATGCAGCACGTTTCTCCTGGAAGTGTTTCGGCCGTTGTAGCGTGTTTGCTCCTGTCGGCCACCGTACAAGGCTCTGTAAGTGTTTCAAGAAAGATTTGCTGTGAGTTGTTCTTCTAAACACGGCATTAATAGGACCCCACCTTTGAATGTCATAGTAAGGGGGTTTGCCATACTACCTTAAATGCTAATGCTGGATATGCTAAACACTTAAAGAGCAGGAGGAATGATGAAACAAAAAGCATATTTTGATATAGTTACAACAGTAATAATAAAGACTATTATAAATATAACTAATCTGAACGCTGTGTTCTAATATTCTTATTTTTGTTATGTCCCAGTGGCACTACTTTTTGAATACTGTTTTTTTTTACTTGTTCAGTACTTTTGACTTTGAACTCATTTTGAAATATTTAGTTTTGCTCTTGGATCAATCAAACAGCTCATACTTTAATAAATGTTAGATTTCCAATCACTAAAGCTTGTTATCCATATACTGTATAACTGTGGTGAAGTGAACTGAACTCAAATGGTATATATTAGAAAAAAATCTACCTAAGATCTTCCATAATATATCTGTTTTTTATGACTTTGCGTTCTTACCAAAAAGCATTGATTGCAAACATTATCCTCATTGGTCACTACTTTCCATTTGCATTAGGGGTGTCAAGTGAATTATATCTATACATCCAAAAAAATCAAATAGTGACAGTTGTAATCCTAGGTTTGTTCTAGTTTTTTTTCCAATTATTTCCAATGAGGAATGAGTCCATGTCGCCACATGTGATTAAAACTGGGTCCGGCAGTGGCTCAGTCAGTAGGGGCTTGCACTGTGAGCCGTAGGGTCGCTGGTTGAAGTCCCCGACCAGACCTAAATATGGAGTGTGGACTGGTACTTGGAGAGGTCCCAGTTCACCTCCCCCTGCCTTGGTGCCCTTGAGCAAGGCACCGGACATCGTTTTTGGTCGAGAGAGCCCTTGCAATGCTAACGTCTGAGACAGCCTACAAAAATATGTTATTATTACATCACTCTACGGTGCAACGATTCAAACTATTTTGACAAATCTTCCACTCAGTATATATATGACTACATAATCAAATTGTTCCAGACAGTTCATTGTGTGTTACAACTGTCACACTAATCTGCATTTGTCTAAGCCACTTTGATATGAAGTGTTATTAAAGTAGGAGTTGTTTGCCCATTTCAAGCAGCTGATCCCGGTCCACATGTCTTGATTTGAATTCATATCCTGCACTTTAAGGTAGCATGGCTCTGTTGTTGCTGTACGTAAATATTGACAGCAGTTTACAGCAAATGAATGTTATACATCTTGTTAGACGAGTTCATCTGTTGACAGAAAAAAAGGAGAACATTCTACCTGGAAGTTTTGGGAAGTTGTATTTTGAGTGTACTTTATCCACTTAAACTTGAATCTTGAGGCAAGTGCTAGGTAATGGCCAACTGCTATTTTGTCCCTGAAACGGAGCCTGCTAGTAGTTGGACGCTCATGTACACACAGATCCAAGGCTTTCAGCATGTGGATGAACAGCTTTATATATAGCCAACACTTGCAGCTCACTTTTTCCAATAATGCAAAACAATTGATACTGAAAATGGTAAGGTACAATAATAATTGTGTTTAGTGTGCCAACAGTGGCACAACTCTGATGTAAAGGTTTCATGTTCTCAGTCATTAGTCTCATCCAGTAGATGCTTGTCCTTCATCCGGAGGTCTTCTGATTGCCTTGCCCATACTTACCACTTGCCCTTTTTTTTTAGTGTTAACAGACTTTTTACCATGAGAGCTGACTGAATGGACTGACAGTCTGAAAGCATATTTCAGGTCTTCTTGTATGGCTTGCTCAAGCCCTGCTGTAAAAACAAAAAAATATGAAATAAGGGGATGGGGGTCTCTCTGTGGAAAATATAATTTTGTATTTGTATTTTCAAATGATAATAAAACATGTTTGTGAAAGCTTTCCATCCTCTACTCTGGTCCAGAAATCAATGTGTTAAAAAATGAAAATAAAGCTGTTTTCAATCAGTCACCTATTGTTTTTACTGCTGAAATTATGTTATGATAAACTATTCATGATATTCATTCATTAAAAAAACAACACATCACAATCAGTTCCTCTAGCAAAAGTATGATTAGAACAAGCGAACAAAATCAAACTTGGACATAGTCATTTAAAACTAATTGTGTGCAGTCTTGAAGTGGGGTTGTCCTTGCATCATGTACTGTATGCCCCCCTCTTGTCAAAGTCAAAACGTTTCGATTGCAAAATAAATCCAATCCAAAGGATCCTTGATCATCATTCTGCAAGAAATAACTGAAACTCAGCCTACTGCCTCAAGTGTTTGCTACCTGGCAAGGTTTCCTGACAGAAACACACTGCAACAGAAATGTTATCAATTATTGAGAAGGTGATTTTTCACTGAGCTGTTAGTTATAGCAAAAAGAACATCGACAGGTCTTCATGAAATGATTGTATTACGTCCACTCAGAAAAAGTAGTCCGTTCTACTCATGGAGGTATAAAGAGAACAAGATGCAGCGTTTGATACGGGGCCTAGTAGCCAAAATGGCCTGACTCTCAACATCGAAAATATCCGGATCGTCCGGTAATCTCCGCATTCATTGAGCACATAGAGCATTTGCACTTTTGTATTACTTAAGCCCCGCCTCCAACCAGCTCCATCATGGCAGCAAAACATGCGTTCTTGGCTCAGTCAAATTAATGTTGTGGGAAAATAACTCCTTTATAACTTTTCGCAGTTTTCACTTTTTAGGACCAAATTGCTTTGAATTGAAGTGTTTGTAGTGGGTAGTTGATATACCGACACTTCCTGGTTCTGCTGCCTAGCAACCGCTAGAACAGAGGAACGACACTGTACAAGGTACCGGTACTAAGTCAGTAGCGGTACCTGATTGGACGATATTGGTATACCGATAAGCCGCTGGACAAACGGTGCTATCGATATATGAATTACGCTACTTCCTTTAAACAATTCTGGTTGGTTGGGAACCCTCATCCCGTGTGACGTATCCGGCTTGAGTACCACTGATTGGCCACTGTGAATGCCACTCGTCATCTCTCCTAACAGCGCTCTTATTATTGTGAGACTCCCGGGGGCAGACCATAGGGAAAGACGCAACATGTTGCTAGAAACAGCGTCTCAAGCAGTGGCGGCCGGCCCCCCTCTTCCCACATTAAAAATAAAAATATATATATTTTAAAAATATTATATAATTGGTATCAGTAAAATGTATAATCTACAATAAAATCTCGTTTAAAATTGTGTTACGATGTCTAAAGTTACTGATAAATCACATGTTTCCTGCCTGGCCTTGCCCGTGTATCATTACCCTCTCTCGTCTGGGCGCTATGCACAGCGCCCAGACGAGAGTGCAGCAAGTGCAGCAGAAGCCAACTGTTGCTATCTTTAAACTATGCCGCCGAAACATAATTTCAGCCAATCAGCGTCGTCAAATCTGATGGTCACAGGGGCGCCTACGTCAGCGCCCGGTGCAGTCTGTGAGTTGTTTGGACTCGTATCCAAGGAGACAAAACAGGAAGCTGTCATACACTCTGGAAGCTATCATTAGTAGCTATTATGAATACTCCGTTTTTGACATAAAAATTGAATTATGGATTATCAATAATTTGTTCAAAGTGACAGACACATTGGATTAACCTATGGATTAACCTTCAGCCGCGTTTTTCTCGTTTTTGATCAGAATAACAGCTAAAGGTGAGCATATCTCCGTGTTTAGCTACCTAAAGCTACGTCGTGTGATGTCTGTATTTGCTTCCCCTGTCGCGAGTTATGATCGCTCAGTGATGATACTTATATTTCTAGAATCTGTGGAATCTCAGCTTGTTAGCTAAGCTTGTTTGTGCATATCCGATAAGTATATCGATTAATTTATACCTAGAGTGCGTTTTTTCATTCAGGGCTCATTTAGACGCTTCTTGTGAGACTTGTGTTTTGTTTCGGTAAACAAGGTTCATATCATCAGTTACCTGAATTTCTTCCCGTTAAATGAGTAGGACACATGAATAGTTTATTACATTTTAAGAAGCCCTGCTGGGACACAGTTTTGTGAAAGAAAAACGGGGGGGAAAGCCCCTTAACAGGTTAAATGGGAATTGAATAATTTTAAGTAATTTTGAGTGTTCGAGTGTTTGAGTGTTCCCAAAGCAAAGTGTTCTGCAGTTTGTGTGGGCCTACTGTACTGTTGCACAGTTTATACTGTATAAACTATGTCCAGGACAAGGTGTTTGGAAGTTTTGGAAGATTCATAGCTAACCACACCACACCGTTGAAGATTATGGAGGTATTGATCAGTCTTCTCATATTTTTAAGCCTCACTTTGTCCTCCCCCCCCCCTAACATCATCAGGAGTAATAATTTAAGGGGTCTTTTCTCCATTTTTGTTAACGCGGGGAGCGCAGACCCCCCTAGTATTGTTTGGTCACCATTTCCACAGCCCCACCTAAAATATTTTCCACCAGTCGCCACTGGTCTCAAGGCTTCTTAACATTTAACAACCTATTAATGATGCATACCCACTTAACGGGAAAACTCAGCTAACAGACTATATTAACCATTTTACCTACACGGAACAGAAGTCCAACACCAAGAGTCTAAATCAACACTTAGCAAAACGGGTTAACAGGGCTAACGGCTACTTTAGCACATAACTGACAAAAGCGATCTTTTCTATGTCATTTCATCTGCACAAACAACATATCACATGAAAGCTGATTCCATTGGTGTAAGTCTCATCACTGTACAACCAAAACTCACTGAACTAGCAGCCAGGAAAGAGCAAGAAAACAACTTCACTTTACGTAGCCATGATGATAGTTATGTCTTACCTTTGCTGTTTTTGTGATCAAAAGTTGTGTTTAAGGGCATAAAAACAGTTAATCCAATGTCTCTGTGTAACTTTAAAATTACATTACATTACATTACATTGCATTTAGCTGACGCTTTTATCCAAAGCGACTTACAATAAGTGCGTTCGACCAACAAAATACAAACTTGAGGAAAACAGAATCATATAAGTACATCAGGCTTCATAGAGCAAAAACATTTCAAGTGCAACTCAACTGGCTTTAGATAAAATGATTACTGATAATCCATCATTACAATTATAAATAATAAATGCAATATAATGGTTAGCCGACCGGAGATTCCGGTTTAGGAGGTGCGCACGCAGCGTCTCGTTTTAACTGAATAATGGTCATGTTTACATGGATTTATGAACTGCCCCTAATTACAGCCCCCCTTCCAGAGACACACTGTCAAACACACTCATACCTGCTTGGTATGACATTGAAAAAGTTACATTAAATAATAAACCAAAATAAATTACGATAAAATGACTGTTGTTTAATCTTTACATCTTGTAATCATGTCTATAATTTTGAACACCAAATTATTGAGAAGTATCAATAAGAGTATCGAAAAATACCGGTATCGATAAGTGGTATCGTATCGGTATCGTTAAAATCCTAACGATACCCATCCCTACTCATGACTGTCCAAGACTGTTCACAGTTTATTTTTCATTAAGCCAGCCTTTGGTTAGAGCCCATGCTGTATTCCCTTACTTTTTACTTCCTGTCTGTCTTCTTCTGCTGATTTCTCTGAGTCTTTTGACCTCTTTCCTTCTCTCGCTTGTTCTCTTGTTATTGTTCACTTATTCTTCTCTTCATTTACGTTGGTTTAGCCATCATGAATCCAAAGTTTGGTGTTCTTCACAAATACATAAATGAATATTCAAACATGATTCCACTGTGTCTGATGGAGGACAACTAATGTGTTCTGTCTTTAGCCACAGCTGACCGTAAATACTCCGGACTTCTTCTGCCGATGGATATGACTGTACATAGTCCATTGATCAGAGCCTTAGCAGCGGTCCTTAGCAAACTACGGATTGTCCAAATTGACCAATCAGAATCAAGTGTTCAACCAAACCGTGTAATAACAAATAATTAGCATCGCAGAATAGTTGCCAAGAAACATAAAGTGGCTGTAGAGCTTACACACTATAATAAGAAAAGTAAACATATTTTTGCTCTTGGGGAAGAAATGTTGTGAGAAAAGCACATCTAAAGTACCTTTTTGTAGAGCTCAACTTCCCCCATGGACAAGTTGAAAGCAAGCAAACCATCCATCACTGCCCACACACAGTAAGATAAGTGCCTGATTTAGGCTTGTTTTGTGTGTCTACATTGAGTCAGATTAAACTTGGTGTTTTGCATCTGAATTACCAGAGGACAATGCTACAGAAGATATTCACTAAAAAGCATCTTGTTTCCTCTATGTAAGAATGAAGTCATGGTTACATTGGGATATGGCTCACAGCCGACTCACAGAGGGCATCAGCTGACTGAAAGGACCAATTAAAAAAGGTTGAAAAATGACTGCAGGTGCAGGAAGGGCTCTTGAGAACTCATTTGGCGAGGCCCTGTGCTCTCCAGTGCTCATTTGAAAGCATTCTGCTCAGTCGTGTAGCTTTCGATGTGTACAGTATGAAGGCTTTTATTATAACCAGGGCTCTGAGTGTCACCGTGCCTTCAGCCTGTCTCTGGGCTCTTTGTGATCAGGCCTTTCACCAATCACCAGTCAATGATGATGTCATACTGAATACAGAAAAATATAAGAAGGGCTGGGTCTATGGAGCTAATTTCCTGCCATAACTCCACAAACAAACTAAACAGGTTTTACAAATGCCTCATGATTCACTAACAAACACAATGTGGTTTGCAAATACAAAGTACCATCTACAAACTAATGCATTTAGTTTTGCAAAGAAAAAACGTATCTATCAAACAAACACATAACATTTTTCTAATAAATCATGTTTCAGAGACAACTTCAGCATAGGTTTTACAAGTACACAACTTTTTTTCACAAGTACAACACTTTTTTTTACAACTACAACACTTTTGTTTACAAGTACAACACTTTTT